TCGTGATCATCATCATCTTCATCAACATCATCATCATCATCAACAACATCATCATCAACCTCGTCAACGTCATCAACATCGTCATCATCATCGACATCATCATCAACATCATCAACGTCATCAACAACATCATCATCATCAGCGACATCGTCGCCGTCATCAAAATCACCACCATCGTCCTCTTCGTTGTCATCGCCATCATCGACATCGTCATCATCGTCGTCATCATCATCGTCGTCATCATCATCGTCGTCATCACAATCATCATCATCACGAACATCATCATCGACATCATCATCGTCATCAACATCGTCATCATCGTCAGCGACATCGTCGCCCAGATCAACATCACCACCGTAATCGTCACTATCATCGTGTTCATCACCGTCGTCATCATTATCATCATATCGTGCCACATGTCGCAAGTGGCTGGGACGGCGGGAACGGATGACGTGGACATCAGGGCACACGGTTTGTGTGTCCCGTTCTGCTTCTCTCTCATTCGTTCCACGCGACCGCCCCCACGACTCTTATTTGGCTTGGCATTGAAGAAAAATTGTCGTTGATCACAAGCTGGACATTGCAAACCACTCCCGCGCGGTCGAGGCAAACACGAAACCGCCTATTCCCAGCGGAACACGAAACCCCTTCGAAATACTTCCCTCGCTCGTTTGCTATTCTCAACAAAGAGATTAGAGGTTGGTTATCACAAAGGAGACGCATGGGCTGCGCGCAACCGCTGTTGGTACTAAGCGCCGCGCGGTGGCCACGGTGGGAAGGATGTCCGCCGTCCACGTGGCGTGCAGTGAGAGGTAAGGTATTCATAAACAGGAGGGGGTCGTCGTTCCGTATTCGTGTTCTCGCTGCAACACTTGAGCCTCCCTCCCCGAAGAGACTATGGCGTCAATCCCTGGAGAGTCGTTGTCGTCTCCATCCCGCGCACACAACGTGCACATGATCCACCATAGAGGCCATGGACGTTGAGCGCGCGCTCTTGGCGCTGGTCGTGAGGGATGCGATATCGCATTCTGCACGACAAATGTCAGGACTGTGCGCGCAACATCCGCGGGCTCCAGAACGAAGAATGCACATGTTGCGTGCGCGCGATGGAGAACGCCTGCGCCGCTCGCTGCAATGACGATGGCGTTTCTTCGGCGTGAGCGCCGGATGTTTCGTGACGACAACCTCGACACGAAAACATGGCCTCGTTCAGTAACGAACAATCCGGCCGCCTCCGGGAAACGTCTCAGTCATCGGGGCAAGGGGGGTGGCCATTGTCACCGCAAGCTCGAAACCAACAACAGCCAAATGAAAAACGGCACGTGGCGTGTGGTTGCCTGGCGAGATGGGAAGTTCGGATCCCGGCAAACTACAGCAATCATGCGCAGTGCTCTCGCGAAAGCAGCAATCTGTTGCCGTCGCACGGCCGCAGGGAGAGCACGCGCAGGTGCGAAAATAGCGCATGATTGCTGTAGTTCGCCGGGATCCGAAGTTCCCATTTTTTTGGCGGTCGTTGGTTTCGCGTTCGCAGTCACAATGCTATCCCGGGTTGCCTTGATGATTACGTTTTGCGGGACACAGTTCCCATCTTTCAGGCATGGGGTCGATAGTTCATAACGCCATGCCAGTTCTCAGCGTGCGACGAAGTTCGGATCCCGGCGGACTTGCAATCTGAAGCATGCGAAGTCCCGAGCTGCTCGGATGATTATTGTTGTTTCGACCGCGTCGCTGAAATAAGACGCTTACGATTTGTAGGATCTTTTCCGAGTCCTGGTTGCATGACTGTTCTTTCGTTGGCGTTGCCACAGAAAAAAAAAAGTCCTCCCAACGGGACCCTAGCAAAAACAAAGTGTTTAATACTCCCGGTCGAACGCGGCAACCGATCTAAAGTTCGGATCCGGGCGGACTTCGTGGTTGGCACCCGTACGTGGATCCATAAACCTGGCTGTGGAACCTGCCATTGCCCGACTGCGAGCTCGCCTTGTCTGCGGTACTAATCGGGGGTCCACCAGCCGTGGTCATTTTTTTTTGTGCTTGCAGTCATTGTCATGAAGGATGGCAACATTTGCAACTGGATCGCCGCAAGTGCTCACTTTGTCGATGAGGAGAATCGGAGTCCATGGGGGTCTATTGGGGGCCGCGCTGTGCCAATTTCCGACGTGGTGCACCTGCGACGACCATTTCTGTTCTGCGTGCTCTGTTGGAACAAACACTTGTGAGCAGCAGCAGGGCCTCCCTGAACATGCAGCCAAGCCTAGCGTTCCTTGTGTGCAATTCCACACCGGTCATCCAAATATCCGTCGTCCCCCGCGCAAACCGGTTCCTGGCCAGTCCAGCAAGCGCCAACTTCGGATCCCGGCGGACTTTGAGGTCCCGCATAGATTTAACCGCCGTTTTCGACGGCCACGACTGTCGAGTGCGTTCTGATTACAAGAGGCCTCCGGGCACGCAAAAGTGCTCGCATGAGGCATGGAGCTTCAAGTGTGAGTTGATTGTGCGAGGACTGTGGGTGCGAAAAATTGCTCACCTTCTGAGATGCCCTTCGAGGGGTTTGTGGGGGTTGCCGACGGTGATAGCGGCCGTTTCTCTTGTCTGTGTGTCGTCGATCTTTGTTGCCCCTAGAGGGTTTTGACCGTCCCGATGCGCGGATTCTTGTCGCACACATGCTCGTGTTTCTGCGTGGTTTCCGGTTCGCGCTTTCGCACGTCGACGTTACCGGCACATGAATCGGGGGTCACCTTGTCGACTGGCCGAAACGGGGTTTGGAAGGGTTGCAGAGGGGGCTTTCATCAGTTTCTACATTTTTCTTGTCTGCGCGGTTGGGATGTCCGATCTTGATGAACTCTTGCACTACGGGTCAGTTTGGGGTCGCGCTACGCCCGATTTTGTGGTGGTGCATCCACCGCTGCCCTTTGCTCTGCGCGTGCTGACGTTCAACGACAGCTCGAGAGCGGCAGAGCCTTCCTTTTGTGCGGCCAAGCATAGTGTTCCTTGTGTGCACCCGCTGGCGCTCCGTTCCACTGACACCGGCCGCGCAAAAACAGGTTCCTTGCTACTCCAGCACCGGCCAAAATCGGATCTCGGAGGACTTCGAGGCGCTGCATGAATCTGATCGTTGTTTTCAACGGCTTGGACTTCTTCGTCCGTCTTCAATGCCGGTGGCATGGTATTGCGCAAAATTGCTCGCCTTGTAAGTTGCCCTGAAAGGTGTTTATTGGGGTTGACGACGGTGTCGCTGGTCGGGTCCATTTCGGGTGTGCCGTGGATCTTCGTTCATCGGCGCCACAAAATGCGGTGCGCCCGAGCAACGCCTGCTTCTGTGCAAACGCCATCCACCCGTCACAAATGCAGGCGAATCCACCAAGTTCAGATCCTGGCGGACTTCGAGGATCGACGCGAATCTATCCGTCCTTTGCGTGGCGCCTGGAGCTTCGAGTGTGAGTTGATTGAGACAGGACTGTGGGAGCGAGAAATTGCTCGCCCTCTGAAATGCCCTTCAAGGGGTTCATGGGGGTTGCCAAAAATAAGGGACATGGCCGTTGTCACCGCCGACAACCCACATTAACCCCTTCGAGGGGATTTATGAAGGCGAGCAATTTTTCGCGCCCACGATCTTTGTTGCCCCCAAGGTTTTTGACCGTCGCGGTGTGCGGAGTCTTGTCGCAGAATCGGGGGTCGCCTTCTCGACTGGCCGAATCAATGTTTGGAAGGGTTGAAGGGGGAATCTTTCATCCTTTTCTACATTTTTCTTGTCTACGCAGTGGGGATGTTCGAGTTCGATAAGCTCTTGTGCTAGTACCTGTGAATGGAAAACTGCACGAGCTCGCTTAGACGATGGTGAGAATCGAGTTTATGGGGGTCAGTTTTGGGTCGCGGTGCGCCGAATTGTGTGGTAGTGCATCCACCATTACCCTTTGTTCTGCGCGTGCTATCGTTCACCGACAACAAAGTCTTTCTTCTGTTCGCCCAAACATAGCGTTCCTTGTGTGCACCCACTGGCGCTACCTTCCACTGACAAAAGCCGCGTGAAAACAGGTTCCTTGCTACTCCTACACCCGCCAAATTCGGATCCCAGCGAACTTAGAGGCTCCCCATAAATCTGACCGTTATTTTTAACAGCTTGGACTGCCCAGTCCGTCTTCAATTCCGGCGGCCTGGTAGTGCGGAAAAGTTATCGCCTTGTAAGTTGCCCTGAAAGGGGTTTATTGGCGTTGACGACGGTGTCACTGGCCGGGTGCATTTTCGGTGTGCCGTTGATCGTCATTCATCGACGCCCCGAAATGCGGTGCGGCCGAGCATCGCCTGCTTCTGTGCAAACGCCATCCACCCGTTCCAATACCTGCAGTCGCACGAAAACCTGTTACTCGCTGCAGGCAAATCCGCCAAGTTCGGATCCTGGCGGACTTTGAGGATCGGCGCAAATCTATCCGTCCTCCGCATGGCCCCTGGAGCTTCGACTGTAAGTTGATTGCGAGAGGACTGCGGGTGCGAGAAATTGCTCACCCTCTGAAATGCCCTTGAAGGGGTTCATGGGGGTTGCCGAAAATAAGGGACAGGACCGTTGTCACCGAAGGCAACCCCCATAAACCCCTTCAAGTGCATTTCGGAAGGCCAGCAATTTTTCGCACCCACGATCTCTTCTGCCCCCCCAAGGGTTTTCACCGTCACTGTGTGCGGAGTCTTGACACAGACATGCTTGTGTTTCTGCGTGCTGTCCGGTTCGCGCTATCGCACGTCGACGTTCCCGGCGCGCGAATCGAGGGTCGCCTTCTCGACTGGCCGAATCAATGTTTGGAAGGGTTTAAGGGGGGTTCTTTCATCCTTTTCTGCATTTTTCTTGTCTGCGCAGTGGAGATGTCCGTGTTCGATAGCTATTGCACTAGTGCCAGCGAATGGAACACCGCACGAGCTCGCTTAGACGATGGTGAGAATCAGTGTTTATAGGGGTCTGTTTGGGGTCGCGCTGCGCCGAATTGTGTGGTGGTGCATCCACCACTACCCTTTGTTCTGCGCGTGCTATCGTTCACTGACAACAGAGCCTTTCTTCTGTTCCCCCAAACATAGCGTTCCTTGTGTGCACCCACTGGCGCTACCTTCCACTAACACAAGCCGCGCGAAAACAGGTTCCTTGCTACTCCTACACCCGCCAAATTCGGATCCCGGCGAACTTAGAGGCTCCCCGTAAATCTGACCGTTATTTTCAACAGCTTGGACTGCCCAGTCCGTCTTCAATGCCGGCGGCCTGGTAGTGCGGAAAAGTTCTCGCCTTGTGAGTTGCCCTGAAAGGGGTTTATTGGGGTTGACGACGGTGTCACTGGCCGGGTGCATTTCCGATGTGCCATGGATCTTCGTTCATCGACGCCCCGAAATGCGGTGCGGTTGAGCATCGCCTGCTTCTGTGCAAACGCCATCCACCCGTTCCAATACCTGCAGCCTCGCGAAAACCTGTTACTCGCTGCAGGCAAATCCGTCAAGTTCGGATCCTGGCGGACTTTGAGGATCGGCGCAAATGTATCCGTCCTCCGCATGGACCCTGGAGCTTCGACTGTGAGTTGATTGCGAGAGGACTGCGGGTGCGAGAAATTGCTCGCCCTCTGAAATGCCCTTGAAGGGGTTCATGGGGGTTGCCGAAAATAAATTGCACTGGTCCAACACGACAGAACATAAATGCGAGACATACCCGCCCAGGGCACCGCCACAATGTGCATCACGAGGAAGAGTCTCCTGGTCTTCCACACCCAAGGCAGGGGTGCTATCCGTGCTGCGTGGCTGCTGCTCCGTCGGTGGTGGAGTCTGCTCTGCACCGACACGCAGGCTTCGACGGCGGATACATCCGGCGCCGGCAAAAGAACCGCCACCACGCACCCCGTGCCCCTTCTGCCCGTCCGCAGGTTTCTCCGAGGCAATCGTCAGCGAGACATGCCTGCCCTCAGGACCACCATAATGTGTGTCGAAGGGTGCAGCCTCCTGGTCTTCCATACCCAGGGCAAGCGTGTCATCGGTGCTGCTGGGTTGATGCGCCGGTGGTGGAGTCTGCTGGTCTTCCATATTCAGGGCAAGGGTGTTATCCATGCTGCGTGTTTGCTGCGAAGTGTGTCCGACAACAAAGTGCTCCTTCCGCTCTGCATTGGCACGGAGACTTGGACGGCGGATACATCCGGCACCGGCAAAAGAACCGCCATCACGCAGCCCGCGCTCCTTGTGCCCTTCGAATCCCATCTGGGGGAAGTATGACCCGCCTGCAGGTTTCTCCGCGGGTTCCGTCAGTGAGACATGGCCGCCCTCCGAACCACCATAATGCGTGTCAAAGGGTGCAGTCTCCTGGTCTTCCGTACCCAGCGCAAGGGTGTCGTCGGTGCTGCTAAGTTGACGTGCCGAGGAGCGGATATATCCGCCACCGGATGAAAAGCTTCCGGCAACTAAGTCCTCCGTCTGCTCCACACTGACGCCCCCGCTCGCATGGCGGATACATCCGGTGCCGGCAGAAAAAATTCCAACCCGCAGCCCCCGCCCCTTATCCACCTCAGACCCCGTTGCACAAGGACTCGCAAGAGAATCTGTCCTTTCGGTGGAGTATGACCCTCCTACAGGTTTCTCCACCACATTCTCTCCATCTAGGAGAGTGGGATCCATAACAACTTAAGCACTCCCGACTGTCGCGTCCTGGATCCTTAGTGGAAGCCATGTCGACCGACTCCGCATCTGCCATGAAATTGGATCCGGCAGAAACTGTACCGCGGATACATCCGCTGCCGGGAAATGCGTGTTGTCCTTGGCCAACGAGTTCAGAAGCTTGCAGTGCATGCATCGGCGGTGGAGATTCCACCTGCGGTGATCCCTGCCCAGTTTGTGAGCTTGCACCTTCTGCCGAAGCCATGCCACCCATTCCGCCTGCGATCGTCACCCCTCCCGCGCTCGTAATATTTCCGCGTTGTGCGCCGCCCCCTATATTGTCACTTGCTCCACCATATCCACCGTGACTGCCGGCGCGGGTTCTGTCCTCACCTCCTCCGTCCCCTCCTTCGTCATCTCCTCCACGTCCGCCCCGTCCAGCTCCCTCTCCGCGTGTTGGGGCAGGGGGGGGAATATGCCAGTCAATATTAGCCTCATAACTTGGACTTGTTTTGAGGTAATAAAAGTCACGACACAACTCCAACATGTTGTGTTCCCGAAGAATCTCATATGTCTGCTCTCCGAACACTTTGACGACAAACTCATCTGGTTGACGACAGTTTACCTCCGCGATGTGGTCAATAACCGCTTGGAGGGCGGCCTCTTCAAACACGTTTTTTGACAAACGGGGTTCTGATTTCCATTCGCCCTTATCATTGAACGCCATAACCCATTTGCTATCGATAACTGCTGGTTGGAACACATCTGGATGCCAAACTATATGATGACGCCAATCAGACTCGTCGGTGCTCCTATGCGTTTTCCCGAAGAAATAGAGTTGACCTTTCTGCAATCTCAACGTGTGCGTCAGCGGAAGAGGACGTCCAGGCTTGACAGTGGGGTTTAGAGGTTTGCTTCTCATAGAGGAAAGGAATCCTCTTGAAGAACCTGAGGTTGGCGTTGCGACAGGAGTGACGACAGGCGAACACGCAGCGTGCTTGGAACTGGAAGGCGTTGAAGAGGACGCCATACCGATAGTATATTTGTGATATACCGTCTCTAAATCCAACGGCTCCTCACCTTCGCTGACTTCTTCCTCGTCGTTTGCGTTGAAATTGTCCTCTTCGGTAAACTGAGCCTTGTAATAATTTAACGTGAGTTCCATCTTGCCATTGTCGAAATAGCATTCTTCAAGTTTCCCCACGAAGTTGGTCGCAGCCTCCCTAGAAGCACCATGGTAGCCATCCAATGCCCTAATCACGACATCTCGGCGGCACTTGTAGTCGTCGTCGAATCTTAGTTTGGGTCGTGTGTCGAGGAAGAGAAACTTGTATACACTCGCCCTTTTCTCAGCTGATAGCTTGAACCACATGTTCCTGTCTGGATCATGGTCGACCTCTTTCTGCACCTGGTAGAATTCATAGTTGTCCACACCCGTATGTCATCAAAAAGTTGAGGAGCTCTGTGTCTCCCTCGATGGCCACAACATGACGCCCGCTCTTGAGGACTTGCCACACAACCTGGGCGTGTGCTTTGCCGATGAACATAACTCCATTTTCGACTAGGCAGAAGAACTCTATCTGACCCAATAGCGTAACCGGGTGGCGCTCCATTTCCTTATAGATGAACCCCTTTAGGTGGTGCACACCTGCCAATGCATACGTCGTGGTCGTGAACTGTGTATCGGCAATGTCCGAGGGTGTGCACTTCTGCCTTTTCCCAAGAGCTGCAGCGTCATCGTCCGGCAATCGCCCCTCATATGTCGGTGGGGTGTTAAGCTTCAGATCATCCCCATGGAAAAGAACATACATCCTGTCCTCCTCAGTCCACACACTGTTTTCGATTTGGTACTGCTTCTTAATTTGACTCCTCCGAACCCATTTTCCTGCACAACCATTCGTGACAGGAAGAATGTGCAGAAGACCCATGAAGGAGAGGTCCCATTGCCTGGGAACGAAAGCAATCAGAGTCCAGAAATCAGGACACACAGCTTCAAGGAATGCCGCCAATGACCGGAAAGCCTCCTCATTCCAACGTGCTCCGTCAACGGGATCGCAGAAGTCGATGATGCAAGTGTGGCATCGCAACTGTGTCACAATTTTCCTCATCTCATCCTTTCTCAAGAAAGCCGTGAAGGCGTCGTAAGCAAATGGTGCGAGGGTTGTCACTTGACTGGTGTGCTTTCATTTGACATTGGTGCATTCTCCCAGTGCTTGCGGCCCCTCTTCTGTCTTGCTACGTTCGCCTTTCAACACGGACAACACAACCCGCTTTCACTCAGTGAGAAACTTCTCGTGATTGACCAACTTCATCGTCGCCGCCACGTCCTTATCACTCGGACAGCCGAGACACTAGGGGCATTCCTTGAGGTACGAGTGATCTGTGACCCATTTTCTGCAGCCCGCCCACAATTTCTCGTCCAGTCCCTTGGAGGCGTACTCTGCCATCAATTGCTCCTTCGTCCGGAAAAAGGAGTCATTCCAATCATCGTTGTCGCGGCCCTCGTGCTGGAATTGCACAATATGCCACAGTCGGAGTAACATCCGATCTTGCTTGACCATTTCACAAGCATCCTTCATCCCAACCTTCCCCTGCTCAATCAACTTTAACATGTTATTCGTTAAAATAGGACATTATATTTTAAATTGGTACTCGCACGCTATTTATTTCATGTTAAAATCGCTATATTTTGGACCTGAATGAAACTTAGGAACCCGAAGAATGCAATTGAGAAGCTATAAATTGAATCTAAACTGGAGATTCAAGGCAATCACTTACGGATCATGATGGATTAAGTGTGGATTCCATTGCACTTCCATCAATTTTGTAACTTAAAAGTCGTTACGGTTACAACATAAATTGTTGAACTCTCCATTTCTTTACACCTTGCTCAATTTTGAGTCAGCATTGAGTCGRACCTCTTTTAGATGACATTGTGACTTCCCTTAATTTATTGAAACTCAATCGAARTGGGACATTTACGGCAAGCACACGGATGATTTAAGTACTAATAGTCTAGTATGGATTCCGTCGCACTTCGATAATTTTTGCTTTAACTCTATTAAATGTATACTAATCACGACAAAGTTTAACGAATCACACGACAGAATGACACGACAAACGAGATTACGGTTTAAGTACAGTGACTATGGGTTTCATCGCACTTTGATAATTTATGTACTACATACTTATTAAAAGACGTGACACTCAGTCTGTTCGATGTGATTTAAGGATGGATTCCAACACTGTGACACTTCGATAATTTTTGACTCTATCACACTTCGACAATTTATGTGACTTTAAAGACAAAACTGACATGTCATTGTCATACATTGAAATGCACTTGAATCAGACGTACTACACATGACATGGTGTGAAGCCGAAACTAGTCTAAGATGGTTTATGTATTGATTTCAGCGGACTTTAACAAAAAATCATAAACCGATAAGACATTGTCATATGAAACTGAAATTCATGTGAGTACCATGGATTTTGTCTCACTTCAAGAAATGTCGTACCCATGAAAAATTAAAAGTCAAAAATTGTACTGGTAATTAAAGTTCAAAATTGTACCCACACGTGCAAGAAATCGCAAATGCAAGATTGAAGTACGTCTACATTAAACGCTACAAGGCAACTGTACATTGAACTACGTCTAAATTAAACGCTACGAGCCGCAACATGTAAACTTTCTAAAACGCTATCATTTACAAGATTTGAAGTTCCTACTGATGTCCCCGCGTCCCTTTAGAACCAAACCCGTATAAGGCATTCATAGACGATCCGAAAACAAGGGTTTGTGGCTCTCCCTTCGTCGCCACCCCCGACAACACCGAAATGTACTTCATCCTTACAAACCTACAGGCACCCGCCAAGGACTTACCGATGGCGTCACGCACACAACATGTCACTTGCTCTACCTCATGCCACTTATGAACCTCATCAATTCGAATGACAATCTCCAAATCGGATTGTTCGTTATCGTACTGAAGGCGCAAATTCCCCATGCTGCGACCATAGACTCTCAGGTGGTTGCAAGAAACTAGCACTATAGCGTCTACCAAAGTCCGCTTTCGGTTTGAACATGCCACACACAACACTCTGCAGAAGTCGGAACCGGCCACAGACAACCGTATGCAACAATATGACACATCTTTTGGCTGTAACCCGGCACCACGCAGCGGATATACTTCCAAAAACGGATTGTAGGATGCACAATCCAACAACTCTTGTTTCAAGTCTGCAGACCACACCCGAGGTGACCTCGTTATGTTGTCCAGGCAAAGGTAAAACCTGTTATTCTCTTCCTGCCTGAGCGCGGCGCGCAGGGACGGAAGTTGCGTGACACCAATGACATAATGAGGTACTTTGATCAGACTTCCCCACTCCATCGCGGAAGCAAATTTGTAGTCCTTATGCCATGGGCATTTCCTTGCCAAGATGACTCTATCCCATTCTGCCTCGGACCACGCATCGATAGGTTTGTCAAAGAAGGGGACGACGGTCATCCACAGGTCGTTTTCGGTATCGCCTCCGCATGCACAAGGGTGAATGGGACATGCATAATCATGCCGATGGTCCATGACTCCTGTCGCACTCCCTACACAAGACATGAAATGCAAACAAAATGAAAATGAAATATCGAAATAGTAGAAAAATCGCCTCTATGATGAACTTGACTTCGAAAATTGTTGAACCATCACCAACCATCTTAAAAAATTAAACCGTAGACCGTGAACAAAATTCGCTGCGCAAAATTATTGCAACAATAATATGCTCCATTCAGAATTATTGTCCCTTCAAACAATTATTTTACAAAAATCTCACTTCCCCACTCTATCGGGCGGACGTGCACTAATCGCTCTTGTCCCCTCCATCTACACTCCCTTCACCAGATGGACC